CAGCAAGTTTCTGTGGGGTGACTTTTGTAGGGCCAGCCATGTGTTTCTGCTGTCTGCTTCCTGTGGGTCCTACCCCTTATGCAGGCAAAGTAAAAGATGAGCCCAAGATATTTTGTAGTGCTAGGTAGTAAAAAAAAAAAAAAAAAAAAAAAGCTCTACATATGATGAAAACATGTCCAAATGACACAGAATCCATCTTTTTTTTTAAAAAAAAAATTTGTTTATTCATGCATACAAGAACCAGGGTACAGGCCAGATGCATGGGAAGGTGAGAGGATTCACCAGAGACAGAGCGGGGAGCAGAACAGGCAGACGACCAAAATACACTGCTGAGGGTATCAGCGGGCGAGACAGGAGAGGTCTGCCGCACAATGTGGGATTCTCGCCAGCTGATCAAACCTGCACTGCAGAGGCTGCGGACAGCTTCACAGCTCTGTGCTCAACAGCCTGTGCCACCAAGGGAGGCCTACAGAATCCATCTTAAAGACCAAATCTAGGCAAAGTTGAGCATCAAAATAATGATGGTAATAGATTACAAACCACTGACTAAAACAGGAATTCGTACTGACATAAATAAACACATAATGTAAATGAATATAAAGAGAAGAGAAAGTTTTACTAGTATATGTACGTGGAATAATGGAAGTAGAAAAATCACCAGTTGGTAATTATTAGAGTTGATTTATACAGTATTCATTAACGAATATTACGATGGAGGGGTGAAAGCTTGATGGAGAACAGGATATCAGAGTATTTTCATAGTTTTTTCCAAGAAAATACTTATAATTACAAAGGTAAAAATGGTGATTTTATAGTGGAGCAAACTGGCAGACACCACCTTGACCAGTGGCCAGCATCACAGTGGTGACATAGGCTGACATCACATGCTTCCTAAGGTGATACCACAGAAGAACCCAGGAAGATCTTTCCTGCATGTAGTACTCCTGCTAAGAACTCATGAGTCTATAAACAAGGAAACATCAGTTGGATCCAGGTAGAGCGACATCCTACAGAATCAGAGACCTGTACTCTTCAAACTGTCAAGGTCACAAAAGACAGGGAAAGAGTTGGGAAATGTTTCAAATTAAAGTAAACCTCAGAAATGTGAACACTACCTGTTTTGAGGAAATACTCTGAAATATTTACAGGTGAAATGGCATCATGTCTGCAACTTGCTCTCCGGTTCATCAGAAAATGAACAATGATAATGGTGGAAGGTGGTAAATGGTAACAATTGAGGAATCTGATTTACAGAGATAAGCGAAGTCTTTTTACTCATTTTCTTTTAAAGCTTTATTTATATATGCATACAAGAGCTGGGGTACAGGCCAGAGGTGAGGGGGGCGGGGAGGTGTGAGGATTCACCAGAGACAGAGTGGGGAACAGAACAGGCAGACTGACTGAAATACACTGCTGAGGGGAGCAGTGGGAGAGACAGGAGGGGTCTGCTGCACCATGTGGGTAGCTCTCTGGCTGGCGAGGGATTGAGTGCTACAGTGGCAGTGCATAGCTTCATAGTGCTGTGACTTAACCCCTTGTGCCAGCAGGGAGGCCCCTCTTCTTACTCTTCTTGCAACTGGTCTGTATGTTTGAAATTATTTTCAACTAAATTATACATAGTTATTTGTCCTCTTTCAGAAGAACAAAATTCTTCCTTTCAATCTACAAACATGCTCGAGCCTCTTCTACTCTAAACAAATCAAAAGTAAAAACAAAACAAAATAATGAGGCCAGTGGCTCCCTGCTGTTGCCACTTCCTCCCTGCTGTGCATCAGGATGTTGAGGAAACATCACTGCACTGTCAGGAAGCTTCTGTTGAGGCTGGCTCTGCTACTCCCTAACCATGTGACTTTAGCCAAATCGTTTAAACCCTTGAAGGCTCAGTTTCCTCATAAGGGTATATAGCATCTCCTTTCTGGAGCTGCCATGGGTGTCCAGGGAGAGAAGGTATATGAATGCAGGGTCATAACTGTAAGGTGTTCTCTTTAACTCCTGGTGATATAGAGTTATCACCTTTACCGGCTGCTAGAATGTGAACCCCTGCTAGGATATGTCCTTTTTTTGGAGCTCAGCCCACCCTTTGCTGACTTGTACCCTGCTGCTGAATCTGCTGATACACTCTGCCCTCGGATGCCTTTCTTGCTTCTCTTGACCTCTTCTCAACCCTGCCTGGCCCCTGTCTGTAGTGTTGTGCCTCCTTTCCTCTTCATCTACTTGCTCTTTCTGGTCATCTAGTCCCATCTCTTCAGGGAACCCCATTATTAAACTAATGACATCCCTGCTCATTCCTGTCTGCTTTGACTCTTCTCAGTATTCCCACCAGGCACTTTAAATTCACCTTGAGCAACACTAAATGATTCCCTTCTTATTTGCCTCTCTTCCTATGGTCTCTTATTTAAAACATTCCTTCTAGGGCCTCCCTGGTGGCACAAGGGGTTAAGCATCACACTATGAAGCAATCCTCAGCCTCTGCAGCACGAGTTCGATCCCCAGCTGGCCAGGGAGCAACCCACATGGTGCAGCGGACCTCTCCTGTCTAGCCCGCTGCTCCCTTCAACAGGGTATTTCAGTTAGTCTGCCTGTTCTGTTCCCCACTCTGTCTCTGGTGGATCCTCTCACCTCCCCACATCTCTGGCCTGTACCCCAACTCTTATATGCATAAATAAATAGACATTTAAAAAAACATTCCTTCTAAATGTGTGGCTAGACATGTAGAAGTTATTATTGTTAATTACTTATTGAACATCTCTACTATGTAGCAGATATTACCCTGGGGACTTTGCAGTCTTGATTTGCTTTATTCCTTGAAAGAGTTATGAGATCTTACTTCATCCCATCTTACAAAGTTGGAATCTGAAGTCCAGAGAGCATAAATAACTAAACTTAAGGCAACAGCTAGTAATGGCAGAACTGGGATTTGATAATAGGTTTATATGACTCCAAAATCTATTCTCAATCTTACTCACTATACTGCATTGACTTCTTCCTGAATTCCCACATAAAAATGTTCATTGATTCCTTTTAAATTTTTTACAAAATGTTTCTTGAGTCATTATCTCTTTTCTTTGTTCACTGCTCCTACCTTGTTCAGACACACATCATATGAATTTAAATGTATGTATATAGGTGTTGCTCTTTCCTAATTAAAAATGTCATGTATAACTGACTGTAAGACAATTATTACAGATCTAAACAGTGGAAGTTTCCCAACTTCAACTTCTTTTTTTTTTTTTTTTTTTTTTTTTTTTTTTTAATAGAGGCATGTTTTTATTTATTTATTTATTTATTTGTTTGTTCATTTGTTTTGTTTATACATGCACTGGGCACAGTCAGAAGCGCGGGAGGGTGAGAGAATTCACCAGAGCCAGAGCGGGGAGCAGAACAGGCAGAAGGACCGAAGTACACTGCTGAGGGGAGCAGCGGGTGGCAGGAGAGGTCTGCGCACCATGTGGGACCCTCCTCCGGTGGCCGGGGAGCAGCCGGGAATCGAACCGGCGCCGCAGAGGCTGCGGGCAGCTTCGCAACCCAGCGCTCTACCGCTGCGCCACCGGGGAGGCCCCCAACTTCAACTTCTAATGATGACCACCATTAACCAAATAGTGTATATTCCTTGATATTTTCATATATATATATATATATATATATATATATATATATATACTAATAACTCCCGGGAGCCTCCTTTTTTTTAAAAAACAAGAACTGGGGTACAAGTCAGAGGCACAGGAAGGTGAGAGAACTCACCAGAGATAGAGCGGGAAACAGAACAGGCAAACGGACTAAAGACACTGCGGAGGGAAGCAGCGAGCAAGATAGGAGAGGTCTGCTGTACCATGTGGGGTGCTCCCCTCCAGGCCAGGAATCCAACCCCTGCTGCAGAGGCTGCGGATTGCTTCACAGCGCTCAACGCTCAACGGCTGCAACGCCACCAGGGAGGCCAGCCGCCTCCTTTCTTTTAATAGCAGCAAAGCTTCTCATTGTATGGAGATAAGGGATTATTTTGGATTTTCATTAGAGGGACATTTAAATCATTTCCAGTGACACTGTTAAAGGGCAGCCCCATACAAAACAGGTTGCCTGACTGTGGGTCCTCACCCGTGCGCTTAAAGGGACTTATTAATACTCTACTGCAGGCACACACAAAAGATTAATAAAAGGTTTATTTACAAGGGAAGGGCAAATGAGGAAATGTACAACTCGGGAAGAAAAGTGGGAGATAAAGATGTCCTACCCGATCCACTGATCTGGAATCCCAAATGGCACTCTGAGAGCTGGCCGCGAGCCAAGAGCCATGAAGCCAGGAGGCAAGCTAGAGAGAGAGAGACCCCAAAGCCCACATGTTTGGTTTCTATTCCAAACCTGGCTGCTTAACTCCACCCTCAGGTCCCAGCAGCCTTCCCTTTGGTGGTGATGGGATTTGTCTTTCCCAATGTCTTGATGGCTTTGGTCTGGAGTGGGGGTGGAGTCCATAAAGCCTGTATGGAATTAGCTCAGGACATCCTTTCCCCCTAACAACACTACTACCCACTGGTATCTAAATTCCATGTCATAAGTTAATTATCACTGACTTTTGTTAGCAACATGGTGTTGTAGATTATAAGCATGCACGGTAATTCATTTATCCATTTCTCTGTGGATGAGTTTAATTTAGGCTTAATACCATATCCCCTGCAACTTGGGCCATGGTTGTTAATTAAACTCTTCTGTCATTTTGCCAGCAATACAGGAGAGCCAAACCAAACTGTGAGCTTCTCAAACACAGGAGAAAGCTTTCGTATTTTTCTTTGTATCCTCTTAACCTAGCGCAGAATTTGGTCCTGAGTATCCGTTCACCACGTTTGAATGTAATAATAATGGAATCGCCCGCCAAGATTTCTAGAGTAGGAAGGCGGAGCGAGCGGAAAGCCGGACTCCTTTCGGCGGTCTCAGAGGGCCCGGAACTTTTGTTAGAAGGATCGCTGTTTCTCTCGGAAGATTTTAGCCGCAAAGCGTGCCCCGCACAAACATGGTTACCACGCACCGGAAGTAACCGGTTATTTTGCCGTAGTCAGTTCTTCCACCGAGCGGAAAAGGTATGTCCGCTTGTGTCTCGACCATTTCCAGCCCCTCTACCTTGCAGGACCCCATGAGTAAGCTGTGGCGGCGCGGGAGCACCTCTGGGGCTATGGAGGCCCCTGAGCCGGGTAAGTGAGGACCGATAAAGCAACTAAGGCTTTTGCAGAAAAAGAGTCCCTTTCTTGCTGCTCGGAGCTCCCAGGGTACTTATCCACAGGTGGGAAGGAGAAGGGCGGGGCTGTTGTTATGGTAACAGCGAGTACTGCGGGAAGAGTGTGACACCCCCGCCCCCCTCAGGGATACTGGGTTCCTCAGGGCTACTTCTGCCGGCTTCTGCTGTACGCCAGGGTTGACAGGATCTCTTTCTGCAGGGGAAGCGCTGGAGTTGAGTCTGACTGGTGCCCACAGCCACGGAGTGCACAAGAAAAAGCACAAGAAGCACAAAAAGAAACACAAGAAGAAACACCATCAGGAAGAGGAGGCTGGACCCACGCAGCCATCTCCTGCCAAACCGCAGCTCAAACTGAAAATCAAGCTGGGTGGGCAGGTCCTGGGCACCAAGAGGTGAGGCCAAGAGGGCAAAGATTTTATTTGGGGAAGGTTAGAAGCTGGCAGATAAAAGAAGCTGGCCAGACATTCTAAAATACACAGAATGGACACTTGTCAGGGCTCAGGTTAAGGCAACAAGAACCCAAGAGCATGTAGGGAACTATTTGTAACTACTGAGCAGGATAGAGACACTTGGTCAGCTTACAGAGTGGTGTTGCTTCTCTGCAGTGTTCCTACCTTCACTGTGATCCCTGAGGGACCTCGCTCCCCCTCCCCCCTTATGGTTGTGGACAATGAAGAGGAACCTATGGAGGGAGTCCCCCTTGAGCAGTACCGTGCCTGGCTGGGTGAGAAGGATTTGGAAGTGGGGGAACTGGGATTCTCCTTAAGGGAAGTGGGTAGTGGGCCTCCCTGGTGGTGCAGGGGTTAAAGTTTCAGCACTCAAGCTATTGCCAGCCAGCTACTACAGCATGAATTCATGAGTTTGATCCCCTCATGAGTTTGGCATGAGTTCGATCTCTGGCCAGGGAGCTAACCCACATGGTGCAACAGACCTCTCCTGTCTCATCTCTGCTCTCCTCAGCAGTGTATTTCAGTGGATCCACCTGTTCTACTCCCCACTCTTTCTCTGAGGAATCCTCTCACCCCTGCACCTCTGGCCTATACCCCAGTTCTTCTGTGCATAAATAAATAAAATAAAACTTAAAAAAAAAAAAAGGGAAGAAGGTTGGTTCTGAGGAGGGTAAGAATTTTGAGTGTCCCAGTATTAACTTCACCAAGAGTGTGCCTCCTTTGAACAATTCTAGTTTTAGCTCTCCAACTTTCCTTTCCAGATGAAGACAGTAATCTATCCCCCTCCCCACTTCGGGACCTGTCTGGAAGCTTAGGGGGTCAGGAAGAAGAGGAGGAACAAAGGTGGCTGGATGCCCTGGAGAAGGGAGAGCTGGATGACAATGGAGATCTCAAGAAGGAGATCAATGAACGGCTACTCACTGCTCGACAGGTAAATTGTTTCATTCTTTATTAACTTGTAGAACACACATGGAGAACTAACCATGTCCCAAGAACTTCGATAGGCAGCTGATATTTGTGTGTGTGTGGTGGGGGAGAGGATTGGAGATTTTTAAGAAATAAATAATTTGTAAAAACTGTAATAAAAATAATCTGATGAAACAGAAAGTGGTAGAAAAGAGAAAACATTAGATAGGGTAGTTGAGGAAAACCTCTCTGAAGAGATAACATTTCCAATATCAGAGGAACTTTTCAGGTAGAGAGACTAGCAGGCACAAAAACACTGAGTGGAACATACCTCACAGGAAAAAGGAAAAGAAGCATGACTAAGTCACAGGAAGTGATGTATATAAAGAAGTGATATATTTGTTTTTCATTTTAGTAGATTTCTTTGGCTTCTTAGTGGGGGTAAAGGAGACCCACCAAGTCAGGAGAGAGCAAGGAGACCCACCAAGTCAGGTGAGAAGATGAAGTGAAGTTAAGGTGGCTTGAGCCACCATGAAGTTACCGAGATAGAGAAATCAGGTGGTTTCTGAATATATTTTGGAAATAGAGACCGTTGGGGATGAAGACAGGGAAGAAAAATCAAGAGTAACTCTTGATTTGGGCATGAGAACCTATCCAAATAATGCTATTCATTGAGATAAAAAGATTAAAAACAACAACCAAAAAATCTCAGAAGTGGTACAGTGTGGTATTCAGGAAAGGCAGGTGACATCACTCATGTTTTTCCCCTTGCTTAAGGGTCTAAAGCTGACTGTCTAGAGACCTGGGAGCAGTCACTAGTAGGACTCCTCCCTGGTTCCTCCAGACCCTGCTTTCCAAGTCCCCTCCTTACCTTTCTCGGGGACCTTCTTCTTCATTTTCTGTTACCACCCGGTCTGTCTTTCCCCAGCGAGCTCTGCTCCAGAAGGCTCGAAGTCAGCCTTCCCCAATGCTGCCATTGCCAGTTGCTGGAGGCTGTCCGGCCCCCGCCCTCACGGAGGAGATGCTGCTGAAGCGCGAGGAGCGAGCGAGGAAGCGAAGGCTGCAAGCGGCGCGGCGTGCAGAGGAGCACAAGAACCAGACTATCGAGCGCCTCACCAAGACCGCTGCGCCCAGCGGGCGGGGAGGCCGAGGGGCCTCAAGGGGTGAGCGACGGGGAGGGCGGACAGCCGCCCCGGCCCCCATGGTGCGCTACAGCAGCGGGGCACAGGGTTCCACCCTTTCCTTCCCACCCGGCGTCCCTGCCCCGGCGCCAGTGTCACAGCGACCAGCCCCGCTAGACCCTCCTCCGCGATGCTCCGTCCCTGGCTGCCCGCACCCGCGCCGCTACGCCTGCTCCCGCACCGGCCAGGCACTCTGCAGCCTTCAGTGCTACCGCATCAACCTGCAGATGCGGCTGGGGGCTCCCGAGGGCCCGGGATCCCCCCTTTTAGCTACTTAACCCCTTGCCTAACCCGGACTCTGTGCCCTCCCCCTTACCCAGTTTTCAGTGTCTAACCCGCCCTATTAAATTTCAAAAAGTGCCTCAACTTGTTTGACTTGGGGAAATGGGCCAAATCCGCGGACACGCATATTGCGCCCGCCAGAGCTTGCGTCGACATCTCGGGCGGCCCACAGGCCGCAAGGAGACTGGCTGAGAAGCACCCGCGCTCGGCCGGCTTCAGGGACCCCGCCTCTTCTCGTCGGGCCCACGCGGCGTGGTCAGCCCTCGCTGTCAACGCGAAGACCGGACTCGAGCCAATCAACGGCAACTTTGCTCTTCTGGGCGGCCGCTCATTGGTTGCCAACCCAAAGCCTGTTCTGCTTTCCACATTGGCTATTGTCGCTGTCAGTCAGGGCCGTGGGTCGAGCCTCATCCCCCTCTTTGTCTGTGCGAGCTCCTGTTGTCCCGGAGAGTGGCGGGGGCGCTGCCGGCGATTGGCCACGGGGAGAATCCTCTGTTCCAACCCTATTGGCGGCTCCGTCGGAGGACGATGCTGATTGGCGGAGCCGACCAGCCTCGGTGCTCGTTGGCAGAGCTCTCCCCGGATGGAAGCTCCGGCCGCGGAGTGATGGTGGCGGCAGCGAAGATGGGCCGGGCAGGGACCATGGCGGTGGCGGCAGAGGTGGCAGGGGCGGGGCGGCTGGCGGTAGAGGAGGCTGTGGTCTTCAGGGGACTGTAAGTGGAGGAATGGCTCGGGCCAGCAGCGGGAACGGCAGCGAGGAGGCCTGGGGGGCACTTCGGGTGCCGCAACAGCAGGTATCCTAACAGCTCCGAAAGCCCATCGCGACAGCCATTTATTGCTCTTTCCCCTTTCCTTGTCCCTTCCTTTTGGAGGGTGGGGGCGGAACTCACGGAGCCAAAGGTACGGTGAAGTTCCTAAGCATGTCCCTTCCACTCTTTGTCTAAACTTTGTAAGGTAGATGCAGTTGACTGTGCCTGCAGCCTCCTAGACCCCCATCCCCTGGCTTCAGTGGAAGCTGGCTGTGGCTCGCCAGTGACCAGAGGCGTAGTGAGGCCCCAGGGAAGCTCCCTCTGTCGTGCAACAGTTATTTGTGATGTTTTTCTGTGTGCCTATTGTCACAACAGAGTCCGGCAGCGTCTTCTCTTGAGGGAGCAATTTGGAGAAGAGCTGGAACCCACACTCGCGCCCTGGATGCCATCCTTTATCATCCACAGCAATCCCATCTGGTTGGGAGCATTGCCCTGGGTCTCACACTGCCACTCTGCCCTAGGAAGCCTGAGACCCAGGGGTGGAAATATGGAGCGTGGGGGTGGGAGATGATGAGAGCAGCTTAACTTAGGAAATTATCTTAAAGTCCATACCCATCGTCTAAGACTGGGGGATACCTCTGACCTTCTTGGCTCCTGCCAAAACAATCCCTTAACAGAAAATACCCTGGGGGACTAGCTGTGTGGGCAATAGTTCTCCTGTATGCAGAGCTGATAGCTGCCTCTTTATATGTCCACACCGTGCATCTTGTTTTCTGGATGGATTCTTGCTATTGCAGGTGTTCTCCCATTTGGACTGCCCTTCAGATATTTGAACACTCCTCCCAGCTTCACTCTCCCCTCTCCCCGTAGAGCTCTCTGAGCTTCCCAGGGTGGGATTGTGTATGTGTATTTAGGGGGAGGGGATGAACAGTGCCCTGGGCAGGAATCCCCCTTGGTTCTAAGTGCCTCCTTGCTCCCAGCTTCGAGAGCTGTGCCCAGGAGTGAACAACCAGCCCTACCTCTGTGAGAGTGGTCACTGCTGCGGGGAGACTGGCTGCTGCACCTACTACTATGAGCTCTGGTGTGAGTCTCCAAGGGGGCTGTTCACAGGTCCCTCTGCCCACCCTCCTTTGGACCTCAGAATTCCAGCCTTCAGAGACCCTTCTCTGCATAGGAGGTATCTAAGACACTCCCTCCTCACTCCCTGCAGGGTTCTGGCTGCTGTGGACTGTCCTCATCCTCTTTAGCTGCTGTTGCGCCTTCCGCCATCGAAGAGCCAAACTCCGACTGCAGCAGCAGCAGCGGCAGCGTGAGATCAACTTGTTGGCCTACCACGGGGCATGCCATGGGGCTGGCCCTGTTCCTACCGGTTCACTGCTTGACCTTCGTGAGTGACTTGAGGCTTTGGGCTCAACTGCTAGCAGGCTTTCCAAACCAAGTCAACCCCACATTCCCTTTCCAGACATTTCAAAACATACTTTTCCCTAATAGGAAAGAGACCACCACCCAACTCCTGGTTGCCTTCAACCAACGATGCCATTCTTTCCTGCAGGCCTCCTCAGCGCCTTCAAACCCCCAGCCTATGAGGACGTGGTTCACCGCCCGGGCACACCGCCGCCTCCTTACACTGCAGCCCCGGGCTGCCCCTTGACTGCTTCCAGCGAATGCACCTGCTGCTCCTCTGCTTTTAGCTGCCCTGCCCACTTCGAGGGAACAAATGTGGAAGGTGTTTCCTCCCACCAGACTGCCCCCCATCAGGAGGATGAGCCTGGGGCAGGGGTGAGCCCTGCCCCCACACCCCCCTCCTGCCGCTATCGCCACCTGACCGGTGACTCGGGTATCGAGCTCTGCCCTTGTCCCCACTCCAGCGAGGGTGAGCCAGTCAAGGAGGCTAGGGCTAATGTTACCCCACCAGATCTGGAGGACCACACCCCTTGTGCACTGCCCCTAACTCCTATACCCCAGGTCTCTCCTGTGGGGCTGGCTACTTCCAGTGACGGGGACATCCCATAAGGAGTTTGGGGAGGGTAGGTGGGTTACTTGCCTACCAAAAAGAGCCCTGATCCCAACACCTCGAGTTCTCGGTCTCTCCCCAAATTCCTAGAATCTGTCTAAAAGAGCTGGAGCTCTAATGAGAGGGGCAGTGTTTGGGGGGCTGTGCTAGCTCTATTTCCCCCCCAAGACATACACAGGAGCCTTTGATCTCATTAAAGAGATGTGAACCAGCTACTTGTGGATTTGGGTGGACTAGTGCTCAACTCACTACACTGCACTTGACCTGACTGGGTTTGGAGGGGAAACATCTCCACTTTTGTGGGGGGGGAATGGCCACTTTGCCTGCTTTTCTCTGAAGAACAAGAGACAGCCCTAAAACCTGGACAGAGCCAAGACCTTTTGGTGAGGCAAAGTGCCAGCAAAAGCAATAGTTTAGCATGGTTTCCCAATTTATTAGAAAAATAGACTCTGAATTCACATTCATCCCAGGGCTATGTGGGATGACAGTAACAAGACACCTGAGATGAGCTGAGGGTTTGAATTACTGGTATCTGAGGGTTGGAGCAGAAACTAAAGACCACCTAGTCCGGAGTGACACAAGGGACCCAGTACCTATCCTACCCCTTCAGTAGTCTTCAGCCATGGCCAGCAGGACAAGGCTGGTCCAGCCCTGGAAAGGGCGGCAGCCCATGCCCCGCCCATCCCGATCACTGTACTGCTCCCACAGGAATCCTGTGGCCTGGTACTGCCGCTTCACATTGCCTACCACATTGGCACGAAGCTCATTGTGCAACTTGGCAGCCCGGGCCTGGTGGGGACCCTCCAGATGTCCATAGTGGTGCAGTGCCCCCAAGGCTAGATAATTGATGTTGAGCCACACGGCACCCCGCCAGTAGGGAGGATCATGTTCTGAATTGCGCTGGCCATAAAAGGGGCTGGAAGCTGCAAGGGACCGTAAACCAAAGGGGCTCCAGAGATGGCGACTGTCAGCTAGAACATCCAGCAGGGGCCCAAGATGGGAAGAGTTGGGTTCCAGCAGCCGCAGGAGCAAGGGAAATATACTGACATAGCCCAAGGCATCCACATACTGCAAGCGAGGGTGGGGCCGGCCCACCACCCGCACCAGGCCCTGAGGGGGCTGAGGCTTCAGATGCACTGCTTTTGTGTGGTTCCCAAAGTCTGCAAAGACTCCCAGCTCCGGAGCCCAGTGCAGCTCATCCAGACTCTCCTCTGCCTCCAGTGAGGCAGCTAGCGGGCCCAACTCTGCAGCTGCCTCAGCCTCTCCCAGATGAGATGCCAGCCGTGCCAGCACACGGGCACCCAGTGCCACCCAGCACCGCAGGTCCAAGTGCCGCTCAGTGGCTGAAGGGTGTGAAGCCCTGGGATAATCATCTAGACCCGAAGGCAGTGTTTTTGGGTTCAGAAGGGTTGGCAAGGCCGAATCCCGGCCCCGCCAGCGGTAAGATAGTGGCACTGGCCCTGCCTGGCTCTGATGGAGCCAGGAAAACCAGGCACGCAAACGGGGAAAAGCCCTGTGGAGGAAGGCCAAGTCAGCAGGGTCACCACCCTCTAGCATGTGGGCTATAGGCAAAAGAAGGGTTGGAGGGTTGGCATGGGCTGCCCGTTGCACCAGGAATTCTCGAGGCACCCGGGCTCGGGCTTCATCCCCCAGCACCTGCTCTCGCCCAATCCAGCCATCAGCATTAAGCAGCCCCAGCCAGTGTCCTAGGGCCTCCTGGGTGAGGCGGGGATCCCACCGCTGGATCACCAGCTGGTGAAAACCCTCATCCCAAAGGAAGCCTCGTGGGAAAAATGACCGTGAGGGGACCGCAGTGAATAGAGGGACAGGTGGAAAGAGGGCTGGGTCTGCCTTCAGCTCAGGCCCCTCAACCCCCGTATCCGGCAACACCAGACCCTGTCCATAGAAGTAGCCAATTCCGCCAAGGAGGCCACTGAGGGCAGTCTGTCCCAAAGCCTGCTCCTCAAGGCTCAGGCCCTTTTCCTTCAGCTGGAAGGTCTTCTCAAAGCGCTCTCTGAAGGATGCAGCATGGCTCTCCAAGGCCTGGGTCAGTAAGCTGCCAGACAGTTGCGTCAGGGCTTGGCTTCCTCCTAATCGGGCACTGCCTGATTCAAATACCAACTCCATGGAAAAGGGGACTTTCAGTGTCACCTGCTGAATTAAGAATTGCCCTTGTCCCTGTCCTTGCCCACTTTGGCCTCTGTCCTCCCACTTAAGAGATCCTGGCAAGCCGAGGTAGCGCTCAGGGGAGGCCCCTGGGGGCCGATGTTGAAACCAGCTATTTAGGCGACTCTTCACCATCTCTGTCAGCAAAGGAAGTCCTGGGTTGGAGGACCAGAAGACATTGTAGCTTGAAGGTGAGGGGGAAAAAAAGAAATATTATTCAAGAGGAAGTGATGGGAATTATAAAGAGAAATTCAAAGTGATCAGGAGTCAGGGTGAGAAGGTCTCAGCAATGCAGGGAACACAGAGCCTAATGAGAATGGACTAACTGGTGGAAACAGGGTGGAGGTGGAATGAGGGAGACAAATTGGGCTAACTCGGTGTCTGTACCACCCCTACCATCAACTCATATACTCTTCCCCACTTACCTGCCATACTTGGGAGCAGTATCTCCTGGACTGGTTGGTGTCAAAAGTGTAAGTCGGAAATCACCAAGTTCAGTGGTGTGCCCACTGATGAACTTCAACTGCCCATTGGCCACAACTTCTGGCACTAGGACTTCCTTGCCGTCTGTTACCACATAGAAGAACAGGGACACCAAAGGGAGAGCAGAGGTACCTGAGGCCTGGGTGACCAATGACAGACAAAAAAAACAGCATTAGATTGGCAGTTTCTCTTGCGAATCAGCCTTAGTGAGGGAAAGGGACACTAGGCTGGGCAACTTGGTAAACAACATACATTTGGCGGTGCTGAGAGTCACCGAAGGTAAGCACCCAGTGGGATGACATAAAGAGCCTTGCATGGGGTTCCCTGGGGGAATAATAGAGTACTTTTTGCTATGTACTATGCTAAAAATGCCACATATTATTTAAGTTCATTCTTACAATCCTGTGAGTTAGGTGCTATTTTCATCTCCATTTTATATACAAGGAAACCAAGGCTTAGAGATAGTAAATAGAGACAGTCACAGGAAAGTGTTTAAAACAGGATTCAAACAAGCAGCCAGACTCAGAGCCCCTGCTGTTAACTCCCACTTCATATTGCATTTGCTGACAGCAAAGGAAGGGTGGAGGGAGTCCAGGCTAGGGGAAGGGTGTCCTGAGGCCCTGACCTGAGATTCTACAGTCACTCTCCAGCTCCAGTCCCCTCCGTGCTGACCCCCAGGCCTCTTGACGAACTCAGTTGTGAGCCTCAAGGCCCCATCCTGGATGTGTTGCCGCCCGAAGGAGACACCGTCATGGAACTCCCAGCCATAGGGACCCACGCCGTCCCCCTGCTCACACGTGTGCCTGAGCTTAGGGGTCCCTGCGGTGGCGCCTTGCTGCGCCCACATCAGTCCTGGGGGTAAAATGGCCACGTAAGTCAAAGAGAGCATGGGATCTGGGGCTCCGAGAACTTCAGGGTCATCCCACTTATAACTCTCCTGATCCGCTCCTCCCCACCTAGCTCTGGCGTGAAGCTGGGGCGCCCAGATTAAAAGAGTCCGCCTGCCTGCCCGCCCCGGGGCCCGGTTACCAGTGAGAAGGGGCTGCGGGCTGCGGGTCTTCATGCCGAAGTAGACATGAGGACGGTAGGTGCCCCAGAAGAGGTCTGGGGCCACTGCGGGACTGGAGGAGTCAGGAGGCAGCGCCGGGGGCGCAGAGAGCAGCGTGACTGCCCGTCGTGCACGGTGCCAAGCCAGCAGCCAGCGCCCGGAGAGGCCCAGAGCCAGAGCCAGGACAACGGCTAGAGCCACTCCCCGGGTAGCGCCACGGGCCCCGCCGCCCCTCCCGTCCCGCCGCGCCGGGCCGCCCCGCCGCTCCGCAGTCCGCGGCGTGTCTGTCGGCACCGCGCGGCGCCGCCGCTCGCCCCGAGCCATCTTGGCAAGGAGGTCGGCGTCGCGGGGCTGGGACTCCTGCCTCGGACCCCGGGCTCGCACGCTGCTCCCCGCAGCCCGCTGATCTGTCAGCGGCACCTGCTAGCCTCTGCCTCCGTTCCGCTTCCGCCGGAAGTCCCGCCCCGCCACGTCATTGAAGCCCCGGCGCTCAGAACCGCTTCTCCCGCTTGGCATAGGCGTGGTCCCCCTGGCCGCTCTCACTGCCCTGGCGTCTGTGTGGCGTCCTCTCCGAGTTCACAGGCTAATAGAAAAATCTAACATGGGGCTCTTGAAACAGTACTATAGATTAAAGACCCGAGTTGCTATCTTGAGTGTTTTGCATTTAATCGCGACGCCCCCCACCCCGCCCCGACCAGATAGCGAAAACCTATGCTTCAAAAACTTCAAGTAACTTGGTCCTGGCCAGAGATACGAAGTGACTGACTTGTAATCCAGGTGTATTTAAATTAGACTGGACGATTTTGCCCATCTCCACACCTTCTCTCCTAGTAAAATGGAGGGGTACAGCAGTGGATCTTAGAAGAAACCCGAGATGTATTCCAGCACTATCTTTAAGCAACCCTGTGTCTCCACTCATTCTACTATTCCTTATCTAAATGAACCTTTGAAGAGCCATAATGGTGGAGAATGCCCTTAGAGACTGCGTATTTCCTCCTCTCCCCCACATTTTTTTTTTAAAGATTTATTTATTCATGAATACAAGAACTGCAGTACAGGCCAGAGTTGCAGGGGGTGAGAGGATTCACCAGAGACAGTGAGGAGCAGAACAGGCAGCTCTACTGAAATACACTGCTGAGGGGAGCAGCAAGTGTGACAGGAGAGGTCTGCTGTGCCATATGGGTAGCTCCCTGCCCGGCCAGGGGATTGAATTCGTGCTGCAGAGGCTGCAGATAGCTTCACGGTGTGGTGCTTAATCCCTTGCGCCACCAGGGAGGCCCCCCCACCCCCTTCTTTTCTTTTTTTTTTTTTATTTTTTTTTTTTATTTTTTTTTTTATAGAGGCATGCTTTATTTATTTGTTTTGCTGGTTTGTTTGTTTGTTTTGTTTATACATGCACTGGGTACAGTCAGAAGTGTGGGAGGGTGAGAGAATTCACCAGAGCCAGAGTGGGGAGCAGAGCAGGCAGAAGGACTGAAGTACACTGCTGAGGGGAGCAGCGGGCGGCAGGAGAGGTCTGCGCACCATGTGGGACCCTCGCCGGCGGCCGGGGAGCAGCCAGGGATCGAACCGGCGCCACAGAGGCCGCGGGCAGCTTCGCAACCCAGCGCTCAACCGCTGCGCCACCGGGGAGGCCCCCCACCCCCTTCTTTTCAACAGCTCATGAAGCAAAGGAGCATAGGGAAAGGATAGTTTATGTTCTGATCAGGGGATGCTGTAGGAAGGAGGTAACATCAGCATCTCAGGTTGACCTAGAAAAATTAACATATTTGATGGCAGTTCAGAAATGCAACTTAGAGGCCAGAGTTATTTTCATTTTTTTATAAGATTTATTTATTCATGCATATAAGAACCGGGCAAAGGCCAGATGTGCAGGAGGGTGAGAGTACTCACCAGAGAGAGAGCAGGGAACAGAACAGGCAGACTGACCAAAACAAACTAATGAGGGGAGCAGTGGGTGAGACAGGAGAGGTCTGCTGCACTATGTGGGTATCTCTGCATGGGGCCAGGATGGAATCTGCGCTGCAGGGGCTGGGGACAGTCTCACAGCGCTGCGCTCCGAGTTATTTATTTCTTAACAACAGGTCAGCATAAAATCTATTTGGCAAAATTCATAGCAGCCAGTGTCCAGACACTGGACACTTGATTGCCTTGATTGCCTCACAGAGCATTCTGAAGTTCTCCTCCAAACCAGTGGCTATTAACCATTTTTGGCATCTACAAAAGGCCTCCACTTCACTAGGAAAGGCAATAGTCCAGTCCATCATGAAGTACAAATTCTTATCCTTTGTAACTATATTACCACACCTCCCATCCAAACTCAATACTAGTAAAAGTCTTATGCTGCATATTTGTTGGAGGCGGCCACCCTGCGTAGTGAGCAAAATTGCCTTGACCTGAGTCTCTAAGGCATGTGAAAACATATGTGTCTCGGAGGAAAACCTCTGAGTGACAGGACTTGGTGTTGAGAGCCTGGAAAGTGACCTGGGTGGAGTCGGGCTTCTACATCTCCACAGCCTGAGAATAATAAAATGGAGAGATCCTGCGCAGTAAGCAGAAGGGCCTTGACCTGAGTACCTAAGGCATGTGAAAACACATGCGTCTCGGAGGAAAACCTCTGGGTGACAGGACTTGGTGTTGAGAGCCTGGAAGTGAACTGTGTACATCTCCACAGATTGACAACAACAAAATAATGAGCGAACTTCCCAGGCTCAGGCTAGGAGGCGATAAGATTATGTGTGTGAGAACTAACCGCCTGATACCCTACTGTCTGAAGTAAATAGATAATAGTAAGAAAATAGACTAATCATTCATGCATGTTATCATTATGTGGTATGCCTTGATGTTACACCTGCTGCAATTAAAATAGTATATAATGAGCACTAAGACAATAAAGATTTACTGCATGCTGGACATGACAGTCCCCCATGTCTGATTTCCCTCACCGTCGCGGTTCAGGCTCGGACTCACTAAAGTCCACACATATTCAAGTCCTATTTCACTACAATCTAATTTGCAGTCCTACCCTTTACTAGTAGACCTTTTGTTTGTTCAATATCACCTTACCAAACTCAATGGTTAACTCTTTCTTGCCACCATTGCACTTGGTACACATCTCTGGTGGCACTTATGACATACCTGAGTTTCATTATTTACCTTATATCCCAGTATACTAGCCAGTATACTAATCAGCATCTACAAACTGCCTTGTAGCATTTATAAGGTAGATGCTAAATATCCGTGATTCAAACAAATGTTTATTGCATGGTCTATACTAGACATCTCTGCAAGGTGTTGGGGACAGAGAAAACAGCACCAATTTCAATACTTATTCCATGTTTACAGCAATGATTAAACCATCCCCATTTTTACAGATGAGGAGAGTGGTAGTTAGGCCTGACCAAAGATTAACAGGCCAGTCAGTCAAAGTTGGGCAACTCAAATCTAGGTTGTCAGTATTCTTTCAACTACAGCAAAAGGCCTCTTAGATAACAACACTTAAGTTCTCAATAATGTTCCAAGTATTTTGCACATAGCAATTCATTAAATACTCTAAAGTGTTATATGAGGTAGGTACCATTGTCACCATTTTACAAATGAGGAAACAGGCAAGTAGTTTGCCCAAAGTTATTTGGCTTCTTTAGGAGAAAGCTGTGATTTTAACCGGAGTCACTTTGACCCTTAACTACCCGAAGGCAGTAAAGGAGTAGTGTTCTTTTTTAAACGAGTAAGGGGGAAAACAGCCTTTTGAGCAGCCTTTTGAGTTGGGAGGTAGTACAGAAATGTGAGAGAGTCATGGGAAAATCTATTTGGCAAAATTCATAGCACCCAGTGTCCAGAGACCCTTGATTGCCTCACTGAGCATTCTGAAGTTCTCCAAACCAGTGGCTATTAACCATTTTTGGGATCTACAAAAGGCCTCCACTTTACTAGGAAAGGCAATGGATATGGGCAATAGTCCAATCCAAATAAAAGACATGGGTTCCAAAGCAGGGCTCTACATGGCAGAGTGAGAAACAATTCCATATTGCAACTGAGTACACAGATACACATATATACATATACTGTCTGTCTGTTCATAATTATATGCTTAAAACGTTTCTTAAAAAGAATACTTCCCATTTCATGAACTGATGCTTTTTATTTTACTTTGTTTCTTTTCTTTTCCCTTTATTTATTTTTTTTTTAAGATTTATTTTTTATTTATACAAGAGCCGGGGTACAGGCCAGATGTGCGGGGGAGGGTAAGAGGAGTCACCAGAGACAGCAGGGAACAGAACAGGCAGACCAACGAAATACACTGCTGAGGGGAGCAGGGGGAGAGACAGGAGAGGTCTGCCCGCCATGTGGATTGCTCCGAGGCCTGCGGGGATCAAACCCACTCTGAAGAGGCTGCCGACAGCTCCACAGCGCTGTGCTCAATAGCCTGTGCCACCAGGGAGGCCCTCCCTTTTTTTTTTAAAGGCTAACTTAACCCCCTAAATTGATTTCATGATCCATACCAATGGGTGGTAACCCTGTATGAAAAACTCTAGACATAGTGCTGAAGAGTACTTTAGGCTCTGTTCTTTGAAACAAGCAGTAGTGAAAGATACACTTAACAAAGTGATACACTTAACAAAGATAAAATTAAGCAACAGTAAAAATGATTAGGAAAAAAAGAGACAAGATAAGAGAATACAATACAGAGTGAGCGCAAATGGAGAGAAAATTTCAGAAGTTTGTGTTTACCACAATATTCTGAGCTTAGTGACTGGATATTCAGGGAAAGGGAAAGGGCAGAACCAGAGATAATGTTGCGGTTTCTAGCCCAGGTGGCTAAGCAGATGAAGCACCTTTAAAAGGTACAGAGAAGTCAGGGAGAGAGGTTTATGTCATACTGTCAATTCTATTTTGAGTAAAGAGTATTGGTGGAATTTGGAGGAATTGCTGAAAACCTCTGACTAAAGAAAAATAAAGAATTAAATCAGAGAGGTTAGTTCAAGTTATGACAGAAGAAAGACCAAAATAAAGACAAGAAAAAAGGTACGAGTAGTATAACTTTATGGTTAAAAGAAGAAAAAAGGACCAGAAAGGAAGAGAAGTTCCACAAAAGAGTGAATTGAGAGCGGCAGATGCTACTGGGATGGAGAGAAAACAGCAGTGGATTTAGCGGATAAAATTAAGAGCCACCTTGAGTGAGTTGTGAAAGAAGCAAATTCAAAAAGGTTAAGCAATGAACCTTTGGAAATGGAAACAGTGAAATAACGTTCGTCCAGATCCCTTCCTGACTTTGTCTTCCTCCAAAAACGATTCGCTTTGTAGTCACAGGGCTCCTGGAGGTTTTGCTGCTTCTACGTGGAACATACAGATGATGGTCTGAGTGAGTAAGTTCTCAGTTAAGTGCCCTACTAGTTCCAGAATAAAACAGGCTTGTTGGTCTTTCTTTTGCGGTGTTAGCGCCCGTTACCAGCGCCCGGCTTGTCCTCGCTCCCTGCTGTGCCCCGTGACTGGATGTGGGAAGCGAAGGCAGTGAACATCTCCTGGGCGGAAAGGTGGGCGCCGCGCATAATCAAGCGATGCCCGTCTCCTGGGGAAAAAAACAAACGAGTCAGTCACCCAGGGCAGCGGGCTCAGGCTGAGGGAGCGGGGGCTGCCTACCACCCCTTCCCGCCGGACTCTCCACTGGAACCCACCGAACAGCACATCCACGCAAGGCTCGGAGCCGTCGTGCCTCACGTCCGCAATCACCGCGCAGTTGAGGTTGGTGGAGCGGACTTTCTCGCTACTCACTGCCTGGAGGAAGGTCCTGTGGTGGGAACAGGGCTTGAGCACCCGGCCGAGGGGACTAGACCCCCGGCGGGCAGACGGCGAACTCCTTCCCGTCCCCACAGCAGCCCTCTCGTACCTCGTCGACTCCACGTTCTTCTCGAACGGGCAAAACTGAACCCGAACCTGCTTCACCGACCGTAGCCCGAGCCGAGCCAAGGCCGCCGCCATGATGGCCTCCGCCCCGGAAGGGCTCGCGCGGGCGGAAGTGACGCCTTCCCAGCGCTCCTGGGGCGGTCCGCAGCTGTCGGCCAGCAATGGCCGGTCCAAGCCGCCTGCCTGGACCTTCAGCCCGAGAGAAGGAAGGTCAGGCGGGAACGAGATGCTTTCGGCTCAGGGTATGGAGTGGCCCAAAGCGGTCAGTTAAATACTGTTAATGAACAGTCCTCTTGTGCCACGGTGAAGGCAATAAATAAAAAGTGCAAAAGCCTCTTGCATCTGACTGCAGTAACAAGCCGGTCTTCTGGAGCCTTTCCCCCTTTTTACCCACTTATGCCAGATCTTAGTGGGCGCCTCTTAAGTGCCGGTCCCTACCAGGTTACCCCACTCAGGGAACTGAGGGTAAAACATGTTGAACTCAGAATAACCAAAGCTTAAAACGTTTAGGGCCTACAGCCCAGTATTCAGAAATGACTGAAAATAGTAGAGGGGAGACAGCCTTTGGGACTGGTCCAGGTGTAGAAATGCCTGTTTCACTTCTGTGGTTCCTCATAAATTAACTAGGTGGTTTGCCTGGTTCCTGGATCATAAGAGAAGCATCTAGGCTCGCTGCTTTCTACTGATTTTCCTCCTCTCCTTTTCCGTAGGCTCCAACCCTGTAGCCTTCCTCCCAGTCTCTAGCACAGAGATATCTTCACTGATAAGGAACTAAGCTTAAGCCTTCCAGGTAGGCTGACCTCCGGGTTCCAGGCTGCGGTTTTGCCCTCTATTCAAGGCACTGGAGTGGAATCGGATTCTTAGTTTGTAAGTGCAGGCTCTTTGTAGCTTATGGGTATGCTTTCTTCCAAGCTCCCAATTGTAGACTTTTTCAATATGCATTTCCAAAGGTCTGGGCTTTTCCAACCAAAGATGGGAAGCTCTGACTTTCTGGCTGCTAATTGGGCTCCTTAGGATTCAGGACTGAGCCCCAAGCAGAAAAGAAAAGGCAGGTACCAACGAGGGCGCTGGTGCTGTCTCAGGGCCAGCCAGGCTTGCTGGTTTCCCACCAGGTAAGCCTCAAGGCTAGGTCCCCCTCCCCACAGTGTGCTTAGCAACTGAGCTGTCTGGGCTGGGGGTGCTCCAGATCGGAGAGGGGGCTCCAAGTTCTCCAGGCTGTTGAGGCTGCTGCTGGGCAATTCCATGGTTTGGACCTCATTACATGCACCTGGTAAAGCAGAGTGGAAGACAGGGGGAGGGAGAGGGGAAAATGCTGAAGCCACCTTAGTGATGAGGGTGGGAAAGTGGGGAACATAAAGTGAGAAAGGGGTAAAGAGCCTGGAATGGGGGGAGGGAGGGGCGTGACTCACAGCAACAAGGAGACCTCCGCTGGACTCCAGTCTTGGGCAGGGGCTGCTGCAATAGACACAGCAGGGCTCCATCCAACCTCTGGAAGATACTGAGCATGAGCAGTGTCTGGCGAAGTTCAGGGCACAGTTCCCATTGCTCCTCTTCTAGCAACTCCCGGACCACTCCAAAGTCTTTTCTGAGCTGCAGTGCTCCCTGCAGGCTAAAGGCCAAGGTACAATGTTGCCACCTGATCCTCCTGCTTTACCAAACTCCTCTGCTACACCTGTCCCCTTCTCCCAGTTCCACTCGTCCCCCTGCCACTGTCTCCTTTTCTTCCGACCTGAACCGGATCTCATGGTTGAGGATGTGATCAAGCCAGGCACCCAGGATGGCTGTCAGCGCCTGGCCCAGGGCAGGGGCCTGGGCTTGGGATGGCAATCCCTGCAATCCTTGTAACACAGGCTCCAGTACTGTGCGGACCACCAACCCAGCATACTCACTAGGAACACTGGGCAGTTCTGGAGTGAGAAGAGAAAGGACAGGATATGTTATGGAGTGCTCAGGGAGAGGGTAAAACTTTGGGAGGGGGGCAGAAAAGGTGAGGACAAGGATGGAGACAGAAAAGCCAAGGTTTGGAGGGGTTGGGGACACGATCACCCCACTGGGAAGCTGGGATATGGCATTACCAGGACAGAGATGATGCCGCCAGTACCGACCCCGGGGCATGTAGAGTTCAAAGCCATGTGTGGCTTGTTTATGACATTCTTGAAAAAAGAGATTTAGTGACTCTTCAGGCAGAAGCTGTGGAGACAGAAAGTAAGAGGGGCTTATCTATTTAGGGGCTTGTCAAATTATGAAACTTCTAAATCTGGGCCATTTAACCTGGAATCTATAAACTCCAAAACAGAATTGTATGTATAATTGAAGGCCTGGATATTTTCTGAGGTGATATGCCATAGTTTTTATTGAGCTTTCCAAAGCATCTGACCCCAGGAAAAATATGGACAATTGCTCTAGGATTATAATGCTCTCCCCAGTTTGGCTCAGATGATGGAAATATTCTAGGTTAATTTTATTCTATAAGAATGGGGGGACCTCCCTGGTGGCTCAAGGGGTTAAGCACTGCACTGTGAAGCAATCCAAAGTTTCGAACCCGGCCAGGCAGGGAACAACACACATGACGCAGCAGACCTCTCCTGACTTACCTGCTGCTCCCCTCAGCAGTGTATTTCAGTCAGTCTGCCTGTTCTGTTCCCTACTCTGTCTTTGGTGATTTCTCTCACCCCCTGCATCTCTGGCCTGTACCCCAACTCTTGTATGCATAAATAAAAATGAATCTTTAAAAAAAAAAAAAAGAATGTTGGAGGGCCTCCCCAGTGGCGCAGCAGGTTGAGTGCAGCGCTGTGAAGCTGTCCACAGCCTCTGCAGCACGGGTTCGATTCCCGGCCAGCCAGGGAGATACTCACATGGCACAGCAAACATCTCTTGTCAAGCCTGCTGCCCCCCTCTGCGGTGTTTTCGGCCCATCTGCCTGTTCTGCTCCCCGCTCTGTCTCTGGTGAATTCTTTCACCCTCCCACGCCTCTGACCTGTACCCCAGTTCTTGTGTAAATAAATCTTTTTAAAAAATAAAAATTAAAAAAAAATGTTAATAGGGAAAAAAGAGACCATCACCCATATTAAAATTCAAAAACAGATGTTAGAAACTGTATGATCTGCTAGCTTAGTTAGCAATGACTAACTTTCTGAGATTAGGGAACCTTTGGAATGTACTTAACACAATAGTCTTGACAGCCCCTTCTTTCAAAGCAATATAACTCAGAAAGCAAGAAAAGGCCAATGTGCTGGCTTTGTTTGTTTGTATGATAGGTTTTGTATTGGAGAGAGAGAGGACAGCAAAAAAGAGTGTCTCTGTATCCCATTTTGGAAGTGAGGAACCCTCAGCATTAGAACATGTGGCGGCAGCTCTGTAAAAAGGTGGCTGGCTGCCAACCTAGAGAGTAAGACGCTTGAGGAAATCTAGCACAGAGGGACAGGGAAATGAGAAGCTCATGTGGCTCCTGATACATATCCTTCCAACAGCCCATCTAAGTGCAGACTCCCCTTCTTCTGAAAACTAGAATACCCTTCTCCTTCCATATTTATGCCAAGGCAATGATCATTTTGCCAACTTACATTTACTAGGAGAACCTCTGCGCTCAACATTGAGGAAATACAGGGCACACACTATGAGACAGTCATTCCCTGTCAGGCATAATCATCCAGCTAGGATGATTATGTACCCGATTCTTCTTTTTCATCCAGTGCCATATGTGGTGGAATGCTCCAGATGCACAAGGCACTCATGTGGAGGAGCAAGGTGTGTAGACTGATTTGCAGTGTTGGGTTCACATGGTAATCACACTCTTGCTCTTTCTTTTGTTCTGTTCTCACCACAACCACCAAGAGCTGGACCCTTCTCATACTATGTCTCCCTGATCACTATAGCTGGTCAAATTCTATCAAGGTCTTCATAGTTACCCTCCTGCTCTTACAATGGCTTCCTATCACTCATGAGATAAAGCATGTTGTGTGGGCTGGTGTTTGGTGCCTCCCAAAATTTGATGCCAACCTGCCTATTCATCCACAATCTCCCCACCCCAAACACCAGTGTGCACTATGCGTGTGCATGCACACATGCACACACATTTAGTCTTCCTATTGCTCCCCCAAGGTACTATGAACTGCCACCTCCAGTAAATCCTTCTGTTTCTCTGAGGTTGCCCAGCTGTCAACTTGAGCCACAGGCCTTGTATGGAGCTTTTGTACCCTCATGGCCCCCTTTGTCTTCCCTCCTTAGAGTGCCTGGGAACATCATTCTCTGTCCTACTGATGAGGGGGTTACTCTGGAGTGTTCTGAGTTGAAGGAGGCAGCAGTAAACTGAGGTGGACATGCCCAATGGGAAGATACAGATACTGGTATAGAACTGTGGGAGCAGGAGGGCTAAAGTGTGGGGGTCTGCAGCACTGTGGATAAGCAGGAATGCAGAGAGAAAAGCAGTAGAGGAACAGGACTGAACTCTACAGCCATGCCCCTATTCAGATGAAAGAGGAGAAAATTGGATAGGAAGAGAAAAAAGAAAGACATCTCCCATAGTAGGAAAATCTGCAAGATGGGAGAGGGGGTTATAATTTATTCATAAATTAGAAGAAAATGTTAGAAGAAACAACCAGGAGTGGGACAGAAATCACAATGGAACAGAATTCAGAGGTGGGGGGGGGCAATTAAAGTGCTAGCTTTTCATTAAGAGCCTTATAAGACAATATTCCATTTTACTTTTGAACTATGTACATGTATTTAATAAAAATACAAATTACATGTTTTGAAAGGAGAAATGCATCAAAAGCTAGAAAGTAAAAGGAAAGAGTGAATCATTTATCTTGCCTTTTCTCTACAAAATTTACCTCAGAGTATCCAAATAATCAATGAGGGAAAGTTTCACTTTAAAGGAATTATCTAACTCAAAAGTGAAGAAGGAATGACAGAATTGGAATATCGCCACTTTGTAATCCTAAAGAAATAATAGAGGATGTAGGCAATGATCTTTGCCAGTGGCTGCTACCACAAAATGACAGCCTAGCATTATAGGGGATGGAGGGGAAAGGAAGGGGGAAGAGGAGATGAACTATATCAGGAATTAACTGTTAAAGCCTCAGTAGTAGGGGGACCTCCCTGGTGGTGCAAGGGATTAAGATGCAGTACTATGAAGCTATCCCTTAGCCACTGCAGCACGAATTTGATCCCCAGCCAGGGAAGTGACCCACATGGCGCAGCAGATCTCTCCTGACTCCCCTGCTGCTCCCCTCAGCAGTGTATTTCAGTCAATCTGCCTGTTCTGTTCCCCACTCTGTCTCTGATGGATCCTCTCACCCCCCGCACCTCTGGCCTGTACCCTAGTTCTTGTATACATAAATAAATCTTAAAAAAAAAAAAAGGGCCTCCCTGGTGGTGCAAGGGGTTATGAAGCAGTCTATGAAGCTGTCTGTAGCCTCTGCAGCATGAGTTCAATCCCCATCGTGCAGCAGACCTCTCCTGACTTGCCTGCTGCTCCCCTCAGCAGTGTACTTCAGTCAATCTGCCTGTTCTGTTCTCTACTCTGTCTCTGGTGAATCCTCCCACCCCCCTACACATCTGGCCGGTATCCCAGTTCTTGTATGCATAAATAAATAAATTTAAAAAAAAAAAGGCTCAGTGGCAGGAATATGGGGGTGCTTATACTCTTCTACTTTTGTATATATAAAGGTTTTATACATGTCTGAAAATTTCCATAATAAAAAGTAGATAAAAGAAAAAAATGAACAGAGTAAAAAAAAAGATAAATTTAGCATCCAACCACTATGGAGAGCTGTGTGGAGATTTCTGGACCTACTAAACATAGAGCTTCCATATGATCCAGCAATTCCACTCCTAGGTATTTACCCAAAGGACACAGAAACATCAATTCCAAAGAACACCTGCACCCCTATGTTTATAGCAGCACTATTTACAATAGCTAAGCTTTGGAAACAGCCCAAATGCCCAAAAATAGATGACTGGATCAAGAAGATGTGGTACATATACACCATGGAATATTACTCAGCATTCAAAAAAGATAAACACATGCAATTTGCAGCAACATGGATGGCGTTGGAAGGGATCATGCTCAGCGAAATAATCCAAAAAGAAAAAGAAAAATACCAGATGGTCTCACTCATAGCAGGAATCTAGAAAACTTAAATAAGGGACCAGGAAAATGAATATAAGAAAGTGAAAATCAAAATCAACAAAAAACTATGAACCAGAGACACTTTTTGGGGGGTGGGGAGTGGGAGGGGAGGGATTGGGGTCAGAATGGGGCGTTTGCAATTGTATGGGGGAATATAAAAATAAAATTTATTATTTAAATTTAAAAAAAAGATAAATTTAGCAGAGGCTCCAAGAAGAGTCCAAGTCACTGAGATATCCCACCACCATCCCCCTACCAAAGCTGGGCACTGTCAGGACCCCTGCACTTCTCACCTGGAACTGTGTGGTCAGTTTCTGGATCTCCAAGCCCAGCTGCTGCTCCACATCTGGGACCAAGCTTTCCTCTGAGGCCAGACTAGACAGAACTTCCGCATCATGCAACAGAGGCTTTAGCAGAAACAGGGAGTGAGGTCTGAGTCCAACCCAGGCTGCTCCACTCCCCACTCCCAAGCTACTCACAGGTAAGTCCTTCTGGGTCAGGAGCAGGAAGGAACCAGGGGCCCACACTGCCAGCTGCTGCTGAGCTCTGCCCCAAAACCAGAGCAAGGTGGTCTGCAGAGTACAGAGCCCGAGCGCAAGGGGTGTAGGACCTGGGGATGAGGGGGAAGCAGAGTAGCTGAGGAGGTCATAGAGCACACCTTTGGGAGAAGGTGGGCTTCAGAACAGAATAGAGGAAATCCTCAACTGTTCTGTTCCCCGAGCCCCACATCTCACCTGTAGGCCGACAGAGAATCGGTCCTGACCTCGTTTCTCGAAGGGCATCCAAGAGAGGAGGGAAGAGCTGTTGCAAAAGTTTAGTGGTGTGAGAGGATGAGGGAAGGGTGCTCGTCTCTCCACCAGCAGATCCCAAGGCCTGGCAGAAGCCTGAGGATGAGGGTTATGGTTTGACAGGGAAAGGGCAATCTGGGGCTTGTATACTCCCAATGCCCATTCTTCCTCACCTTGGTCCCAACTCCAGATAAGAGAATGATGAAATAGGCTGCGACACAAAGAAGCCAGCTCCTTCTTACACTCCTGAGGCAGGGATGCTAGTGAGAAAAACGACTCAAACCTGAAAACAAGGTTTTTCTTTTCCATAACCACTGCCCACTCAATTGGGGAAGAGGAGGGGCAGCCCCCAAGACTCAAGACTGGAGTGGAAATTAAGACTATGTCTTGAAAGCCCAGAAGCTATAGCCTGAAAAGGGGTGGGGTAAGTGAGTGTTCATTCTAGAGGGCCTGCTTCTGTAGTCAGGCTGGTAGGTGAATGAGGTGGCTATGGAGAAGGAAGAGACTCTAGTCTTCCCAAATGACCATCAAGGCCCATCACTCACCCTGACTCAGTGCCTGATTCAGTTGTTGTGCCGCTGCCTTGGGGTCCCTCCAAGGTCTTACACTTAGGTCCAGACGCTGAGCACAGGCTGCCCACAGCAGGGTCCAGTATTGGCTCCACAGGGCTCCAGCCCCTCCAAGTCCCAATCCACTGCTGGCTGAAGCCGCCACGCCCCCCAACAGGCCCAGCAGCCCGGGCAGCAGCTCGCGCTCCTCCTGGCACCGCCTGTGGAGCTGGTCCTGCAAACCCGATCCCCAGAGCGCCTCCTCCAACAGACCTGCCACCTGGTAACCCCGCTCCCCTGTCAGGAGGCGGAGCACACGGGTGGGAGGGAAAGGGTGCGCAGCCCCTGGGACGTGATTCAAGGTTTTCCTCTGCAGTTGGTGGTAGGTGGGAAGTGCCACCAATAGGTCGGCGAGTTCAGATGACACACCGGGGCTGGCAGGCGCCCGACCCAGAGCACGAAGCTGCATCTCGATGGTAGCATCCAGGCGCTGGGCGGCCAGTCCGACCGGGCGCGCCAGAAGTAGCGGCTCGGGAGCCTCCCGCAGGCCGATTCTCAGGACGGCCCTTCGGGAAGGGTGCGGCAGCAGGTCGCGACACAGCTGAGGCAACTGGTCAGGGCAGGGGGATGGCGCGCCGGGACCCAGGATCCTCAGGAAGCGCACGACCGCCTGGAGGTGGCGGGCATAGTCCCTGGCTTGGAGGAGCTGCTCCCGCTCGCGGTGCAACCGCAGCAGAATGGCCCGGAGACGCTGCAGCGCTGGAGGGATCCGGCCGCCGGCTGTCGGCTCCGGCCCCCAGTCCGCAGCGCCAGTCCGATGGCGCTCACCGCTGTCTGCCGGCGCCGCCCACCACGGCTGCCCTCCGCTCGGGTCCAGGCAGGGGACGCTCCCGGCAACCGGCAGCCCCGGCCAGCAGCGAACGTCCCCGCGGAGAGCGCCCGTCCGCCTTCCCCTCCACGGCTCCTCCACAGCGCCCTCGGGGTGCGGCCACAACGGTGGCGCGGTAGCGAGCGGGGGCAGGAGGCCACCCGAGCGAGACGCGCGGGCCATGAGGTGCTGGGGCAAGGACTAACCTAACGACTCCCGCTTCTCCGCACAGCCCAACGCCCGCGGGGACCCGGACTCCGCCCCAGCCCGAGAGCCGTCCCCGCCTTCCGGGGAGCCGCCAGGGCCGTCGTGGACTCTCTCGCCTTCCGTAACCGGAGGCTTCTGCCCCTAACAAAGATGGCTGCCCCCAGGCCCACTCCGCCCCTCCGCGAGTATCAAAAACGAGACTATCTTTCGGTTTCGGGTCACTGTTGACGGGAGATGGCGCCGATTCCGAGGGCTGTGGGGCGGATCAAGCTAGGTGAGCAGGTGTGACCCGACGGGAGGGAAACCTAAGAGGGCAGTGGCAACCGTACTTGGGTCTGCTTGCAGTTAGGTTTTGCGCTTCGCGCTGTGGGCCCAAGGGCTCAGGCTCCGGCGTCGCCAAGCCCCCTGACCGCTGCCGCCTTCTTTTTCCGTAGACTGCCCGCTGCGGCCCGGCTGCCCGCTAGGGGTCGCTGATGTCCCCAGACTCTGCAAGGAGTTCGGTCCAGAGGACTACGGCGAGGAGGTAACTCCTCGTCCCCTCCGCCAGTCCCCGTGCCTTTTTTCAACCTTGGGTGCTGAGTCCGGGTAAAGCGGGAGAGTCGGAGTATCGGGCTGGGTCTTCCGGAATGCTCAGCTGGTGGAGGGCGGGCCGAGGACCCGGGACCACGCTGCGATCAGTGCTCGGAGTGGGCGGGATCTGGCAGATAAGGGTCTCTGAGTTAAAATTTGGGGAGTGGGTGGAAGTTCCTTGGGGAAAGATCTAATGAAGACAGGGAAACTGTGAACCCAGACATAAAGCAAGGAAAAGTTAAGAGAATCTCATTCAATTGAGATCTGAGTGGTGAATTTTGTTGGAACCACCAAAGATGAAGCGGGAAAAGAAGGCAGCAAATGACTTCGTCTGGCACAGAAATTTTTGGATATCCTCAAGGAGGGAAGGGCAGCATCAGATTTGAGAGCATTGAGAAGCTGTACTTCCAACTGCTTCCTGGTTATCTCAAACTCAAGTTCAGAAATTAATTCATCATCTTTGCAAATTGGTTCCTTCCCCCATCGTAATTTTGATTAATAACACAAATATCCATCCATTTCCTTAAATCCAGTATATAATAGAATATATCCCCCTTTCCTTTACACATTTAGCCACTAAAATCTATTTCTGAAATGTCTGGAATCAGATCCATCATTTCCACTCCTGCTTCTGCTGTCACTGCCTTAACTGAAGGACTCATTCTCAGTAGCCTGAAAAGGTGTAATGACCTCCTAACTAAACGATCCACCCCTAGACCCTTCTGCTGCCCCAGTACTATTTGAGTGTTTTGCTCTCCCAAGTCACTCCCGTCACTGACAGGACAAACTCTGGGTCCACACCTGATTCTTTAGATACAGCTCCTGCCTGCTTTCCTATTAGAATAGATTCCCCACCAATCTCTGTATTTGCTCAGTCATTACACTCTTATTGAGTACCAGCTATTATATATCTGAGGTGCTCTTTCAGGCACTGGGAAGAATAAGACTTGATAAAAGTGCCCAGCAGTATAAATAAATTTGCTTTTAAAACAGGACTATCTCCTGAGGGGAGAAAAAAGTTCTGAAATTGTTTAGAAAGATGACAACGTGATCTGAGTTCCTGCCTACACATTATTTTAACACTCTGGAGTTTTACATAACTTCTAAGTTTCTCAGTCAGTGGGCCACCCCCTGTGTTGGTATGGGTGTGGCTGTGGGTATGGGACTTCCTTTCTGTTTAGGCCTGATTAGGCCAAATACAGATGTGATGATTCCTGTCCTCCTTAGCTTACACTAACTGATTAATAATTCTTATCAGAATCACAAAAGTACAGGCCAAGCATTGAAGAGTCTTGCCTCATTCTATGAATGTGGAAGCTGAGATACAAAATCAACAGGCCAGGCAGTGGCAGAGCTAGGACAGGGATACAAACACACTCCAGCACAGTATCTTTGCCAGTTCCATGCTGCCTTACAAGTTAAGAGAGCAATAAAAAGCAATGAATAATAATTGTAATTGTATAACTAAGTTTTATAATTAGCTATGTGAGTGCATTTTGGTTGAGCAAGGGCAGAGATAACTGGAGATAAAAGGGTCCGGGAAGGCTTTTGAGACAAGATGGAATTTGAACTGGATCTTAAAGGTGGAACAAAATGTGATGAGAAAGAAGCTCGGAGCCAAGAGAGACTAAAAGACAGACAGAAGAGAGCTCTGAGGCTAGAAGAAAGCCCTCTGCCATCAGGACTGCAGTTAAGGGAGGATGTGAGGAAAGATGGGGAAGGTCATCCAGGGAGCTCTGTGGAAAGCTTAAATCCCAGGCTGAAGAGCTAGTTTCCATCCTGCCTATGACCCTGCCATTGGGGGGGTTACTGGATGTTTTTGAATAGGGGAGTAATCACTGAGACCTTGGTTCTGGGGGAAAAGAGATGAAGTGTAAGAGGAGAGGCCGGCCAGGAGCTGCTGCACTTGAGTAAGCATGAGCAGGCTCCAGGCTCCAAGGGGCTTTAAAGGGGGCTGTTCGTTTTCAAGGATATGGCAGGGTAAGAGCAGGTAAGAGAACTCTAACTCTGTGCTGCTGACCTAGTAGCAGGCCAAAGGGAGAGGAGGTGCTGGATGGTGGAGAAGGCTGGGGTGAACACCACACCCAGTCCTTGGGAAGACAGGAAAGTAATGCAGGGACGTGAACTGCCATAAAAGTTGGGAACAACATATTTTGAGGTGCTGGGGGCGGGGGAGGATAGCCAGTGGGGTTCTCTGGACTGTGTGGCTGGTTTGTGGTTGCCATGGTGAACGAGTCAACCCAGACAAGCCCCTTGCTCTCTCTCAGAGAGCCCCCCCCAACACCAGCCTCCCCTCCCCTCCCCCTCCCAGGACATAGTGGATTTTCTTCATCGGCTTGTGGAGAGTGATCCCCAGGGCCTGCACCGGATCCAAGTGGATGGGAGCAGCGGGCGGCTGCAGCTGTGGCACCATGGTGGGGAGTGAGGGGCAAGCCAGGGATCAAGGCTGGTACCCTGGGGAGGGCTGGCCCTCACATGCTCCTCTCTCACCTTCCTTTCTTTTCCCTTCTCTTTCTCCCTTCTGACAGATTATCTCCTGGGCCATTTCTGTGATGAGGGGAAAAGGAGTGAACAGAGTGACAGGGGCAAGGGGACTGAGGGACTGGGCACCTATTGTGGTCTCCGAAAGTCCTTCCTATGCCCACCCCAGCGGTCTGAGCCCTGCCCTCAAAGCCCCTCTGCCTCTAAATCCTTCCCCAGTGATCCAGCCAGCGTGCTTCAGGTGACCATGCCCCAGAAGCTCCTGCTGACTGAAGAGGTAAGTCTACCACAAGGTCCTTTCCTTGTTCTAGGGTTCTCCTAACCCCCATATTCCCAAGTCTATATCCCCCCTAATTTGGAGAAATCCCCCCTTGTGAGATCCTTTCATACTACTTGCCTTTCATTCTCTCTTGTTTTTTTCTTTTTCCTGTCACCTGATCTTCCCTCTCCAGGAAGCCAACCACCTGGCTGAGGAGCTGGTGGCTGAGGAAGAACGTATAAAACAGAAAGCTGAGAAGAAAAGGCTCAAGAAGAAGGTAGCTGGCGGGTAGAGAGGGTGGAGGCAAAGGACAATTTGGGGAAGGGAAAGAGAGGAGCTTTATGTGAGCTCAAGATGACCCGCAGTGGGTCTTCTTGCTGTGGACCCCAGGAGTTGAGGGACTGGAGGGTCCCTGGGAGGCCACATGGGACAGTGGTTCTGGAGTCACACTATACTGCCTCCTTCTTACCATGAGAATCCTCTCTGGTGACTTTTTTTTTTTTAAAGATTTATTTATTTATACAAGAACCGGGGTACAAGCCAGATGCGCGGGAGGATGAGAGGATTCACCAGAGACAGAGCGGGGAACAGAACAGGCAGACTGACTGAAATACACTGCTGAGGGGAGCAGCGGGCAAGGCAGGGGAGGTCTGCTGAGCCATGTGGGATTCTCACCAGCTGGCTGGTATCGAACCCGTGCTGCAGAGGCTGGGGACAGCTTCACAGTGCGGCGCTCAACTGCCTGCCCCACCAGGGAGGCCCTTTGGTGACTTTTGTGTCAGCTTTTTCACCTGCGAAATGAGGCTAACCACAAAATCTACCTTGTAGAGGACAAGGAGTAAAGGATATTATCTTCTCTGGGGGACTAGATTCCTGCCTTGGGGCTCCTGGCTCAATCCTTTTTGTATTAAAAATAAATAGGGGCCTCCCTCGTGGCACAAGGGTTAAGCACAGCACTATGAAGCTCTTTGCAGCCTCTGTAACATGAGTTCGATCCCGGGCAGGAAGCTACCCATATGGCGCAGCAGACCTCTCCTATCTCGCCTGCTGCTCCCCTCAGCAGTATTTCAGTAGATCTGCCTATTCTGTTTCCCAGTCGGTCTCTGGTGAATCCTTTCACCCCCCCAAACACACCTCTGACCTGTACCCCAGTTCTTGTATGCATAAATAAATAAATCTTTAAAATAAATAAATAAATAGGAGATAGTGTATGTAAAACTCTTAGTCTATCGTGGACATGAAAAGTTGGTCTCAAGATATAAATTGTGTTTTGTGTGTATTTAAGTACAGTGCTCAAAATATACCCTCCTCCACCTCCTTGTCATTATTATACAGCGTCAAAAGGATCGAAAGCGACAAGAGCGCTTGGAGCAGAGTGGTGGGGAGCCTAAGGTAAGTGTCTACAGTCAATACCAAGAGCCTGGAAGGTGTGGGCTGTCAAGGCAGAAGGCTCAAGGGGATCCCAACTCTGCACCTATCCATCTTCCATCCAGGCCAAGGCCAACCCAGATGGGGATGGGAGTCCCCCGCCAAGCCCTGGGAACCCAGCCCAGGGACAGAGTGGTGAGGAAGAGGTGAGAGCCCCTTTTCTTCCCTGTTTGGTCTCTGCCTAGCCTCTCCTCCCCTTCGCTACAGCATACTTCATCCCCATCCCCTCCCTAACTTTCCTTGCTGCTTACAGGACTTACTGGATCTGTCTAGCACCTTTGTGTCTCTGGCTTTGCGCAAAGTTGGGGATTGGCCCCCTAGTACCCACCGAGAAAAAGGATTGAGCCAGGAGCCCCAAGACAGGAACCCAGGTCCCCCAGAGAAGATAAGCCAGGAAAAAAGAAGCTCTGCAAGGAAAGAAAACCCCAAGCAGAGTCCTAAGAAAGAGGTGAGGTGCACAGAAGAACCTTAGCTAGACCTGGTAGAAGGGTACCAGAGGGCTCTGGGGAGTCCAATGTCTAAGGGCAATGCCCAGTGGATGGAGTTCTCTGGTGCTAGGATGAAAACACCTGAGGTCAGGCTCTGCCATTGGCACCTGAACCTTGGATAGTCTCCCTGACAAGCAGGTAGGGAGGATGATACCACCTGGCTGAACTGCCATGAGAACTACATGAATTGGGTGAGAGTCATTAAAGTGTTAATTGTTTGAACAAAGAAGGGGGATTTGGGGAGGATGAGACCTTGAAGCCTTCTTGACTTTGCTCCCCATCCCTAGGCACCCCCAGGACTGCTGGCAGTTGCCTTACAGCAGAGCCAGGAGCTGGCAAGTGAGATTCTTTCTCTCTCCTTCTTCACCCCACCCTCCCTGGGGTAACACCATCTGAGCCTTCCCATCCTCTTGCCTCCCCAGAGTTAGGTACCAGCTTTGCCCAAAATGGTTTCTACCATAAAGCTGTGGTCCTCTTCACCCAGGCCTTGAAGCTTAATCCCCGGGACCACCGGTAGGTGGGGGCTTGGCCACCGTGCTGGGAGGTCAGGGTAAGGCAAGGTGTTGAGGACTTGGACTTTTGGATACTTTGTCTTTATCAGGTTATTTGGAAATCGTTCTTTCTGCCATGAGCGGCTAGGTCAACCAGTGTGGGCCCTGGCTGATGCCCAGGTGGCCCTTACCCTGCGGCCTGGCTGGCCCAGGGGCCTCTTCCGTCTAGGCAAAGCCTTGATGGGACTGCAGGTAATGGTCTGAGGTTGGAAGCAGAGGAGGGATGTGGGTGGGATGCAGTGGGGATGGGTCTGTGTTAACCTTTTTTAAATAAACTCCTCATACAACACCATCGCAATGTTAATGGTGCGAGGAGCTGGGGCCGGTGTTGGAGAAGGGTCACTCTCAAGTTCCTCTGGTAAGTCCTCTTTCCTCTTTCAAATCCCTGTGGGACCAAAGCGTTTTGAGGAGGCAGCTGCTGTGTTCCAGGAGACTCTGAAAAGTGGGTCCCAGCCTGATGCAGCGCGGGAGCTCCACTCTTGCCTTCTGCACCTTGCTCTGGTAAGGGAACCATGCCCACTGTGGTGCAGAGGGGGCTAAAGGGAGAATTTGCCAGGGTTGCAACACCAACCAGTGTTCCCTCTCCCCTTGAGCAGGTAGGGGTACGGGGGGTGGTGGAAAGAGGAGCAGGCTGTACTGCTGAAAGGAGTATCAGCTGCCCTTCTTCGCTTCTCAGCAGGCTCAGCAAGGAGGAATTCGCGTGCCACCTCTGTCGACTGGGCTTCTCCAGCCATTTCCACATGCTGAGCCCAGGGCCCCAGGCCTCTTCTCCCTCAGTCACCCTCAAAGCACTGCTCCAAGGGCCCCTGGCCTTTTGTCTCCACCCCTGCATTATCCCCCACGTTCCCTGAGCCACTACAACTCGCCCCTCCCTCAGACTCAGAGTAGAAGACCCCATTCTTTCCAACTCCAGGACTCCTCAAAGGGCTGGGGCACCCTGGGTCTTCGGCCCCAGCATCTACCTCAGGCCAGATGAGGGAGGACCTGTCCCTCATAGGGCAAGGCCATGTGCGCATCTCACAGGGATAGGGGCACTGAGTAATGGCAGTTTACTGCGTATTTTGAGCCCTTGGACTCAAACCACAGTCATTTCTCTCACCATGGAGACCTTGGGATTGGGTCCACTGAAACAGCCTTTCTTTGATTCTCAAGCAGATAGGCCTCTTCTGGGAGCAGTAAGGGAAAATGAGATCCACCAACACTCAAGAAGAGAACTACACAAAAGTTCAGGTTTTCAGACTATGACAGACCCAGCAGGGAAGATTTGGGGTTTGCTCTACCTCTTGATCCTTGGGGAAACTCATTCACCATCCAGAATTCTGGGCCCAAGAATGGGGTCACAGTGATGAATAAGGTGTGAGTCCTTTTCTTTACCTTGATGAAGGCTCACCTCTTCTTAACTCTAGTTCTTGCCCTATTTTCTCAGCTCTAGCCCCTCATGCCATTTCCTGCCCACATCTCTATGCAATATGCTGACCTCTCCTATTCCCAGTGGGCTGGTGTTCACCTCCTCCCATTGCTAGAAGATTAACCAAGGGTTTGCATTTAGGAAGTGCCTTGCCAGCTGCTGCATGAAGTTAGCAGAACCCATGCCTATCCAGGCTCCCCCACTGCTGGCTCACCTGGTGATGGGGTTCCACAGGTGCCCAGGCTGCTGTCCCTGTGACTGCGCTCCTCCACTCGGACACTGCATGTTGTAATTTGCCTCTCCCCATGAATTTACTCAGTTTTTCCACCCACAATCCCTGCTTCACTGCTCCCAGAAAAGGCTACAATTCTCTACTTCCTGTGTGAAGATCATGATCTCCTTTTGACTTTTCCTGTAAGACCCTACCTAGCAGCTTCCCCTGGCTGATCCTTCCCTATCCCTGTGTGGGACTCTCAGCTCAGTTAAAAGTGAATCTTCAGGGAACTTTTGGGCCTCCTGGAATGTCTTTCCCAGAGGAACCATTCATCAGGACAAAGGATTCTTGCTGCCCTATGGGTCTTGCTCAACACCACTCACACCTGGATATAGGAGGGGTTGAAGTACCTCCTTTGTGTAGGGGTTCCCTAAATTCTTCTCATTGTTCATAGTGAAAGCCCTTAGATACTATATGGCATATAAAGTCTGCCAGTACTAGTTGGGTCATCTTGGGCAGGTCCTTCAACATCTGTGCCTCAGTCCTCTCCTCTGTAAAATGGGGGCTGTAGTGAAGACTGAAAGAGTGTAAGAAAATCCCTACCAAGTGTCTGGCATATAGTGTGTGTTAAATAAATTGATTTTCGTAACTATTCTATGTATTCATGATTGTCTTAGTTTGAAGAGAGGAGACTGGGCCTGTGGTTCTGGACCAGTAGCATCAGCATCACAGAAGATCCTGTTACAAAAGCAAACTCTCAGGTCTCACCCAAGACCTTCTAAATTAGAAGCTGCAAGAGTGGGGCTCAGTCATTTGTGTCTTCTTACTAAGCCTTCCAGGTGATCCTAAGGTACCCTTACATTTGAGAAGCACTATTTCAGGACCTAGCAGGGAAGACACACATCCAGAGGCCATTTTGGTGGGACAGGTTTGAATTTGGATTTAAGACTTTATTATAAGAGGTGGCAGCACTGGGTTGGAATTTAGGGAAACAAAAGGGAGTTATAGCTCAGGGCCAATTAACTTGACTGGATCCTACCTTCCTCACTAGAAGTATTTTCCCTGGGAATTCTTCGTTCATCCCACAGTTTATTCACCAAGTGGGGAAGAGGTGGTTATATTTATTTAAGGGTCTCTTATAGTACAGTGACTCCATAAGAGACCTGCCTGTATGGCCTTCCCAGATTTGGGCAGAGTGTCTTGTCTACTTTGAGGATTCCCGTAAGCTTCTGGCCTCTCAAAGGATAGCCACCCACCACTGCTGTGTGATATCTTTGCTTTCAGGCTGAGCTGGCTTCTTGCTCTTTCAGCCTCTCAAAGAAATATCCCTTCCCCCACTACCTCTTAGCCTATCTGGACTTGACTCTTTTGCAAGAGCCACAGGACACCTGACACCTTGCTTTTACTTTGCTTCACATTCATGCTGCTAACTAGTAGGGTTCTGATCAAACAATTTGAGTTCCCAGGGATGGAAAGCAAGGGACCAACCATCCTGCTTTTCCTGGGACTGAAGGGCTTCCTGCACTGTGGGGCTTCAGAACTACAGCTGGAAAAGCTCTGGGCAAAGAAGAAAGAGTTGGTCACCTCAGTCTAAAGGCAGATTAATCAGAGAGGCAGCCTGTAGAAGGGGATGAAGAAATAAGGAAGGGGTCCTGAACAGAAACCAGGGAGTTATATGTGTTGTCTATGTGTATTGAAGAGGCGAAGAGTGTTTTCTACACATACTGGCTCGCAGGTTCTTAACTCTACACTAGAGGTCATTGTCTTTTTCTAGTCATGATACTATTTTTCTTCCAGTTGCCCAGGTTTACAAGTTTGTCACTAACTCATGCAGTCATTGGTCACTGGGGGACTCAATGATTTTTTGGTGACAACCTCCCTCTCGCCTCTGTGCTCCTAATCTCGCCCTGAATTTTTTCTGCTGCTTCCTTCTGCAGTGGCCAGAGAGTCACTCCTTCCTCAGTTCTCTGCCAATCTCTAACCCATCTTGCACATACAGTCAGATTAGCCTTTCCCAAGCATTGCCCTCATGCCTCTCCTCCCTAAAACCTTCAAGGACCATGCTCTGTCTACAGTACATGCCTAAATTCCCACCTTTGGCCATTTCCGTTCTCTGTTAAACCCCTTCTTTCAGTTTCACACAGCCATAGTTGTAGGAACAGTAGTGGCCAAAAGGATGAGCTCCTGAATGGGACAAGTGAGCAGGTTAGTCCCCATCCCACCACTTCCCACCACATGGTCAAGTTTCCGTGATTAAGGCAGTGTCCTTGTCCTCAAAATGAAGTTAAAGTCTCATTATCTCATGGGGTTATTATTTTTTTTAAGATTGATTGATTGATTGATTGATTTATACAAGCACTGGGTACAGTCAGAAGCGCGGGAGGGTGAGAGAATTCACCAGAGCCAGAGCAGGGAACAGAACAGGCAGAAGGACCAAAGCACACTGCTGAGGGGAGCAGCGGGTGGCAGGAGAGGTCTGTGAGCCATGTGGGACCCTCGCCCAGCAGCTGGGGATCAAACTGGTGCTGCAGAGGCTGCGGGCAGCTTCGCAACCCACTGCTCAGCCACCACGCCACTGGGGAGGCCCTTCTCAGGGGGTTATTGTAAAGAATAATCCAGGCAAAGCACTTGACTATGTTCAGTAAATGGTAGCTATTGTCTGAAAATGTCAGGTTCCCTTCTGCCTTCCAGCCTTATTCACTATCCCTGAAATATCTCCTCTGGGGAACTTTCACCTGCAACTGAGGTCCTAGCTGACTCCTTCCACCTTTGAAACCTCAGTGGATTATTCCCGAGGCCCTTGAGAGTGGGATTGTGGCCGCTGTGCAAAAGCGTAGGAAGGTCTGAAGTGACGGGGACTACTGACTAGAAGAGGGATGATGCGGAAAAGCCTCTGGAGCATGGTCCCGCATCCAGTCAGGCAAAGCCTGTAGCAATACCATTGTCCCTCTTTCCTTACGTCAGGCTGCCGCAGAGTGACCTCTGAAGTTGCCAGAGGAAGGCAGCACTAGGCTCCACCTCAGCATGCTCTTGGTGCCTTCCCACCCTCCTGCCATGGCCACTATCCTGGCTGGGACATTTCCTCCCAAGTGCAGGTAGAATTCCAGGAAGTGGAGGTTTGCCCGTGTGTCACTTTGCTAGTGTCTCCACTTAGAGTCACTTTGGTGAAGCAGGGAGAAAAGAGAATGCAGACCCCTTGAATGACGTAAGGGTTGGGAAAGAGGAGAGAATCAGGCACAAAGGCGGCACTCTGCAGTGGGGAGGAGGGGCAGACATGAGGACCTGCGTCTGGGAGGAGGAGGCAGGGCAGCGGTGTATTAAAGGCCATGTGGAGTCCAATGGCCACTAGTACCGCTAGAGCCCTGCCCCCATCTCAGCCTGGAGTCGCCCTAGCAGGTCGATGAGCTATGGCCAAAATCCTGTCCTAAGGGGAATCCCTTTGTCAAACAGGCATAATTATATCACCTTATAATTAACCTTGTAATTAATTTAACCTTGTTGAGAGTTAAGGAAAGCCACTTTTAAAACGCCGGGCCAAGCGTGGACGGCAATCAGCTTTTGCTCTCTCTGGCTCCTGGCGCCAGGACAGAGACCTCCTTCGGTAGAGTCTCGACTTTATTTTCAACAGTTGGAGAAGGTGGGCGTCCGAACTGTGAGCTGGAAAAGGCCCGGGCCCACACCCTCCCTTCACCCCCACATCCCAGCAGGACTGGGATCACGAAGGCCAGGAGTCCAGAGCCAGGGCTGGCGGCTGCCTTGCCTTCAGTCGTCCACCTGTATCTCCTCGTCTGACAGGTGGCGCCCGGAGTCAGGCGGGGCAGGGCCGAGGCCCCGGTTCCGGCCTGGGCCTGGGGCGCCGTGGGCCACGGCGAGGTGGCACTGGCCTTCCGGGGATATGGCGCGCAGGGAGGCCAAGTCCGCGCGCATCTCCTCCACTTCGCGCTTGAGCTTGGCGCGCCGGTTCTGGAACCACGTGACGACCTGCGCGTTGGCCAAGCCGAGTTTTGCTGCCAGCCCGTCGCGCTCTGACGGCGCCAGGTACTTCTGGAAAACGAAGCGCCGCTCCAGCTCCAGCACCTGCTGCGCTGTGAACGCCGTGCGCGACTTCCGTCGTCTGCGGCTGGCCCGGCCCGGGCCCAGCGCGCCTGGAGTGGCACCTCCTGCGGGGATAGGGCGAGGGTCTCCAGCCTTGCGGGAACCAGGCCACCGCCCCAGAGGAAAAGCTCGGGGTGGAGTCCAGGCAAGGTGCGGGTTGGGGGAGCGGGGAAGCAAAGCCAGAGCCGTAGTCCCTTACCAAACTGCGCTCGGTGGCGCAGGTGGGGCGCAGAGGGGATAGGGGTGGGCAGAACGAAGGGGAAGCGGCTGGTGAAAGAAGCAGTGGGGTATGGGAGGCAAAAGCCCAAGAGTATCTTAAGGGGACAGGGGAGCGGGAGGAGAGCGGTACAGGCCCCGAGGGGCAGCTGATCCCAAATGGCTGAGTGTCAGGGGACTCTAACCGTGGCCGTCCTTCGGCTCGTGGGTTGTGTCGGGCACCCGGAGTGTTCATCTTGAGTACTACGGGCGTCCCCTCCTCCAGCCCAAAAGGGGGGTACAAAGGGCAGGGAAAGATGGAGTCGGGAGCCTCAGAGCCCTTGCAGCTCCGAGGATCTTCTCTTGTTTTTATTGCTCCCCCAAAGAGAGAGCGGCTTGCAGAGGAGCTGGGTCACCCCGAGAGGCCTGGGCTTCTCCTCCCAGCACCTTCTGGACCGCCCTTGCCCTAGCTCACAGGTTTACTCTCCAGTTCAGGCCTTTTGTCTCCTCTCCGGCCTTTCGTTGTCGCGATTGCCCCGCCTACAGTGAAGAAACCCAAGGGGCTCTCAGTTCTCGACAGCCAGACCCTTCCCTTCGGCGCCCGCGACCTCCCGAGCCGCCGCGGAGCCTGGGAACTAACGGAGGGGCGGGGAGGGGCGGGAGAGGCAAGTCCTGGCACGTGGGCTGAGAACAGCGGGCGGATTAGGGTGGCGACCACGGTTCAAGACCGGGAGCCTAGAGGAGAGAGGTGGGGAGAAGGTCAGGTCACTGTGCGCAACATACCGGGCGCTACGGCTTCCGAGGGTGGCGGAGCGCGCAGGTCAAGTCCGCGAAAAGTTTTACTAGTCAGCTCCTCCAGCGCGCACAGCGGCGACGTGGGGCCGGGGACCGACTCCGGCAGCTGCAAGGCGGAGGGCCCTCGGGGGACCATGCGCGGGCCTAGGATGTCTGCGATGCTGAAGGGTGTCCGGGGTGTCCGAGGTCCGGAGCTCATGGCCGGACCGACCGTGGCGGCCCGACAGCCCTCTGCGCTTGGCTCGGCGGCTCCCGGGGTCCCAGCCTGCGGCTCCCGATCTGGGCCCCCAGCCTCGGACCCGCCCCCAGCGCAGGGCCCCAGCCGGGTGTGCCCCTCCCCCTGAGCCCTCACCCCCAATCCTGGGCCACGGTGGGTCTGTCGCTGGTAGATGTTGGGGTAGCGGTATTACTGCAGGGTGAGTAGGCGCGGAGAGCAGCGGAGGGAACAACCCACCACACCCGTCCAAGAGGCTGTTCTGCTCTGGGAGGTAAGGTTCCGTACACACTCGGGCTCAACCCTTTGAGGGCGGCCCCCAGATTCTGTATGCTAGGGACTCCTCGCCTCGCCGCCTCTCAGAGTCATAAATTCTTCGGCAGTAAAGTTGCTTTCCCTGGCTTCAACGACTGGGACTTTGCAAAATTCTGAGGGACATCGGAGCTGACTGGGCTAGGATTCCCCAGCCCACCTAAGAAGGACCTCAGTCTGCACCCCCCCCCTTTCGCCCCACCCCTGCTCTTAAAGAGGTCCTGCCGGCTGGAAGTTATTAGTACAGCGAGGGGAGGGGGGCCGGAGACCTGGAAGAACCCGGCCAGGCTGTGTGACTGCAGGGGAATAATGGGGGAGCCAGGAGGAAACAGCACAGGTGAGTGGAGGCTCCCTGGCTGGAACTGAGACTGTGCCACCGTTGGCTCAGAGGCCCCAAGGAAGTCAAAACACAAGAAGTAGCCAGAGACTTGGTCATCCAGAGAGGACACAACTAACAACTAATAGTTACTGCTATTGTCCAAGAAGAGTCTTTTCTAATGAAGCCTGGCCTGTCCGGAGATCCTCTGGTTTACCAGCTGGTCTACCAGTTGATCTGTTTTTGTCTCCTCATGAAAACACTGTAGTTACAGTCTTGGGTTCCCCAACCTGCCCAGCAGCCAGCAGCAGTGGTTGGGGACACGTCACTGCCTAGGAGCACCAAGCTCACTCCTTCTTGAAGCCTGACTTGAAGGACAAACTGTATGCATCCAACCAGATCCGGAGGCAGAAATCTCTGCCAACCTAGGACAAACTCTATGGCCTGGGATAATCATTCCTATTTTATCTGTGTCCTGTTTCTTTTCTCTTCCATGCCTCTTCTAGTCCTGGTTTCACAACCCTATGAGCATTCTACAACACTTCTTTGTAGGAAGAAAGCAACTCTGGGACAGTATAACCCCACTGGTAGAAACCCAGCCCAGCAAGGCAAGGGCTTTGCTTGAATATTATACCCCCAAATAGCCTGGGCATTCTCTGGGCTTAAGTCTTCTTAAGGTCATAAGGGCATTTTGATAATGGGGGTCAGGGAACCTCACATGGCCTGAGGCATTGGCCCACCCATTAAAGGTAGAGAATCACAGCATCTTTAAGGTGAAGGGCTCCCTCCAGGGACCCTCACCCCCCTCCCCGACACTCACATAGTAACCCCCTGGCAGACTGAGCAACACACTCAGCCCAAAGGACCATTGCTGGGTCAGAGAGCAGAGTCAAGCCACAGAAGAAAGCTGAGATGCCTCAGGACTTTGTTAATTGATTATTAATGGCGGGATGCAGGGGAGGCTCAGGAGAAATCCTCCTGGCTGGAGCCTCAGCTCTCTGTCCATCCTCGTGGTTTCACTTAATCTGCAATTAAAGAAGCTCCCAGGAGGCAGCAGAACTGTCTAGCCCATGTCCTAGGTCTGTCACCAAACAGACACTGCAGCCTTCACCATGCATCTTCTGTGTGGCTCTTATGTCATCTCTTCCTCTGCTCTCAATTACTAGTGTGTCTGTGGGAAGCGTAGGTTTCTCTCTAGGGGCATTGTTTTCCTCTCCTTATATCTCTCCTGCTTACTGCTCCCCTCCACCCCCCAAAGCAGGCCTCAGGTAATGAAGTTGGACAGTCCCCAGATGTGGTTTGGGGGAGGAGAGGGAAAGGGAAACTAGTAAAGGGAGGAGGCTGCTGACAGCAGAGCCAGACTAAGGTTGTCCCAGCAGCCAGGGACTTGTCCAGATAACAGTGGGGCCACAGAAGGGGACTTTTCCCAGTGAAACCTGGAACCTGAGCTGGCAAGAAACCAGATCCTCAGAGGGAGGTAGAAGGAGGGTGAGTGATTAATGAGGGAGATTAAAAGATTAAACCTGGGATCTGGGCAGGGTGGGAGGCACTCAGCTGTCTCATAGGCAGCCCCCCACTCCAGTTTGGGAGCCCAGATGCTCCGCAGCATTTGGTCAGTCATTGGGCACCTCTTCTGGCTTCCTACCAGGGTCTAACCCTTCCTGCCTGGAATGCTTATCAGAGTTATCTGCCAGCACCATCACCCCACAGCCCAAACTGAGTCAAATGACTTTCCTCACCATGTGGGTATCTCCCTGGCCGCCGGAATCGAACCTGTGCTGCAGAGGCTGCAGGCGGCTTCACAGCGCTGTGCTCAACCCGCTGCGGCTGTGCAGCAGGGAGACCCTGGCTCCCACTTTCTTTTAGACCCTTCGGAGGACATCTCAGGGTCCTCCACTCCCTCCCTCCGCAGTACTCCTCACATTCTGACTTTCACTACCTCTGGAAGACTCCTCCACTCCCACTTAAGGAGGCTTTCTCACACCATTCATCTCCCGCTTTCAGATTTCCCTCCGCCTTAGCTCACTCTTTATTCCCTTTCGTCACCACCCCACATTATTTCTCACTCCCTGACACAGAACCTCTTCCGCTACCCCTCACTCCATTGTCCCCCTCAGCCTCTCACCCAGGCCTGTCCCAGCCTGATCCCCCTCTTCTTGGCACCAGCTGTTCAATCCTGTCCCCAAGCATTCCTCTGAATTCTGTTTGCATGGTGGGGGTGGGTGAGAAGGGAGAGGATAGGGGATCTTCAGAATAACCCTCTAGGGCAGTGGAGGGAGGAGAAGGTTAGGCTCAGAGACTTGCTTGTCCTGGCCCTCCCAGCCCTGTAGGAAAAATCCGTTGCCCAGATTGCTAGGGCAGTGGGAGTTTAGGGAGGAGTTTCCAGGCAGAGGGCACTGGGCTCCTCCACCTGCCTCCCACGCTGCTGGGCTTAGCTTCTCTTTCAGAAAGCGTTACTGTGTAACTATGGAGTAAACCCATTCAGACACTTAATTTTTTTTAGTTTTGTTACTTCTAGGGCCTGGGGTTAGGAACTCCTTCCAGATCTTTAATTCAGAGTTCTGTGTGCTGGTCACCTTTGGGGGTGGAGGTAATGGCTGGGCTGCGAGCAAAGGGATAATTCAGACCAAAACCCCACTCCTGAAACATACATACACATACACACCCTGAGACCCACTTTTCCAGGCAAGTCCCTTGTCTCCATCCCCGCCACCCCAAGCCAGTGGGTAAGACTGGCCAGGCTGAGAGGGACCAATTCTCAAAATCAAAGGCTGGGGCAAATCTGGGTTCTCGCTCCCAGGTGAGTGTGGCCCTTGGAAACAGCTCGGTGAGAAAGGTTGGCAGGGACAGGGACTGCTGCCTCTATTCCGGCAACGCCTGGAGGTCAAAGGTGCTCGAGGGCCAGCTGCCAGCGCCAGCAAACTTGCGGCCCCCTCTTTGATCATTGCGCCACGTCCTGGGGCTCCGCACCCTAGATAACGAAAGGCTTGATTAGCCTGACCTGACTCAGATCGAGACCCGAGTGATCTCGGGTACAGGGTCCACATGGGGCAGCCACGGGGCGGGGGACTGGACCCACAGACCGAGGGAAGCGGCGCAGAGCCCGCAGCTGGTCAGCATCAGCACCTCCCGAGACGCACCGCAGCTGCAGCCGCCTCCGCTGCTGACAGACAAAAAGAAGGCTCCGCCGAGCTACGAGCTACGGCTGAGAGGCTCCACCCCCGACGCGGGCCAGAGCGTCTTCAGCTCATCTTGGAGTCAAGCCCTGTGTAGTCAAGGGCCTCATCCTTAGGTTTGGTCCTCAGATCTGGGGCTTGGGGCAAACTTGCCATCTGACTGTGCCTTCTAGATGCAAAGCTGCAGCCAAGGCCTAACCAGTCAATCAACTCCCTAACTCCTACAGTTGATTGAGCCCCGAAAATTCTCCAGGAGTTTTTTTTTTTTTTTACTCTTCTCCCCTCCAAGTCCATACCTCTCCCTCCAGAGTCATTCCTTGGGAACACCCTTTCTCCACCAACTGAACTCCTTCACAGCAGCCTGAGTGGGGTGTGCTCAGTGGACCATCAACTCCCCAGATTTTAAATAGGGCAGAAGAGAATAGGAAGTCCTCAAATAAATATAATTACTCCAAAACCTCCAAATATATGCTGGTATAGAGGTATGTCCAAAAGCGGTGGCGAGGTCCTGATTCTGGCTGAGGTGGAGTTTCTGGGGGGTGGTAACCAATTTAGGAACAGATGAGTATAAAAAGAGAAGGGGCAGGGAGAGGCATGAGACCTGAAACATGGAAGGCTGTGGGAATCTTGGAGATCATGTCAGAATCAGGAATCAATCGTGTTCTGCAGTGTCCCCAATCTGGTCCCTGTAGCCTGCACAGGACATGGAGGCTCTTCCTTGCAGTCTGCAGCCTTTCACTTGTCCCTTTCTCTTTGCCTTCAAGCTTTCTCTGTGCAAGAAGGGAAGCCCAGGCTGTCATAGGAAAAGAGCACCTGACTCCACATGAAGTTTTGCCCCCAGGCTCCCCATAACCCCTTGAGCGTACCTCCCCCTCACCCCCGCAAGAGATTTAGGCTTTAAACTCAGATTCTGGCAGCATTTATGTCATCTGCTTGATCAGGCAGATCAAGCAGCAGCCCATTTGCTTCCTTCAGGAACTCGTTGCTTAACCTTCATCTGTTACTTGCCCAGTAGGGCAAGTTTTGGCGACCTCACTGAGAGTTCCACAGGATAGGGAATCTGGCTGAATTTATTTCTAGAACCCTGTGCTAATGGCTAAGCTCAGGTAAGGAATGTTTGCTAAATTAAGTGAGTCGAGCAGCTTTCCTTTTGTTCCTTGAAGATGTTGTTGCTTTCCTGG